AAATGCATCCCTTGATGGCAAAATAACAGATCGGATCGCCATTCTGCAGGTGCATTTGGGAAGCTTCGTCACTATCTATAGAATGAGAGAGGTATCAAATTGAACAGCAAAATACGAGTGTATTGAGCGGCCATTTTGATCACACTGTTGTATAGCTCAGATCTGTGGCTATACTTTTGACGATAGGGTGTCCAATGCCGATCTCCTCGCAAAATACAACACTGGTTGAATTGAGACGTTCCTGATGTAGTCACAACTTCTCTGCGCGGGTCATGTTGCAAGGATGGGTGATGACAGAATGCTTAAGGTCTTCATGTATAACCAGCTTCACAGTTAACGAAGGAATGTTGAACGTCCGTGGCTCAAGTATAAAGAGAAGCTAAAGTAACCTCCCAGCTGGCAAAGTTACTCATACTAACTTCGACCGTGTTGTCTGGGATATAAATAACTGGAGATATTTTGCCAGAGTAGTAACAGAAATGTTGGAATCAGTCGTATTGACCGGCTAAGAGACGAAAGACAACAACGAAAAACGTCAGAAAATGTTCCTGTTGCTATGTCCGGAGATTCTCAATATGTGGATTTGTATGCAAGTCACTAGCGGGACTGAAGTTTCACATACGACACAAAAATAAAAAAATTTGTCTGGTTACCGGATCCTAATACGTCGAAATCCATCATCATATATATACATGGTGAGCCCAAAAAAACGGGAATTTTTGAAGTGCGTATTGCCAGACATGAGCAAGTGGCAACACTGCGAGGCAGTGACCTTGAGCAAGTAAACATATTGCCATTTAGAATTCAAGATGAAATTCATAGTATTCCAGCTGAGATGTGGCAGCAGTCAATGAGGAATCTCAACAGCAGATTTCAATGCATTCGTACAGGAGGACGCCATCTACAGGATGTAATTTTTAAAAAATGAAAATTCCATCATTGTTTCTTAAATGGCATGTTTTAAGGTTTCAATTACTATGAATAAAATATTTTTTCCATCACTCTTGGTTTTATTGGATTGTTAAAAGTTCTCATTTTTTTTTGGGTCACCGTATATAATGATTTTTTATCTGTTATATACTGTGCCTATGAACACAAATGGATATGTCCTAATCCTCATAAATACGTTGGGGTTAATGTGCTGTCTAAGTAGTCCACCACTAGCAGTGGTTTACCTACTTCACGCCGATGGCGAGTATTGTATTTTGTTTATGTTATAAAGATAACCATTTTATTTCCAACCTCCGTTTTGGTTATTCCTCATTCAGTAACATTATCCGGCATAATTCTTATTACTATAAATTTTATTTTACTGCTTACCCGTGTTTGAGCTGACATCCCTGTTTCTTTCTTTTTTTTTTTTCGTAAACGGAGAAATTAGTATCATCCGACCGATGATATTATGCCGATTGATATTAATTTCACTGTTTAAAAAATTTTTTTTGACTGTTTAAGTAAATCAAAATCAGGGATATTAACTCAATATGTAAAAAGAAACAATAGTCAGATAAAAAAAGGAATTCAGTTAAAAATTTAAACCTTGTCTCTAAAATATTTCAGACAAAAATGTAAAAACATTTATTTGTAAACAGTTTTTATTCCGCTTTTATAACAATGGCGCCTGTAAAAATTATTTTACTATCTCTCGATTGATCTACCTCCGTTTTCCATTTAATAAACATTTTTTAATCACTTCACTAGGAACAAGGCAATAAAGCCACTAAAACGCAAGGGATTACTGCGTTTGAGAGAATATGAGTAAAAAAAACACTATTAAGAAGAGAGAAAAATAAAAGAACAGGAATTAAGAAAACAGAAAATAACGATTGACATTGCGTTTAAAGTTTTAAAGATCAAACTTGACTGGGGAGCAAGAAGCTGGAAGAGAGTTCCATAAGCGAGAAGTGCGACAGAAGAAACTGTTAGCATAGGACTTACGGTTAACTATAACCCTTTCAACTGTAGAAATATGAGATCTACCCCCTACCCTAATCTAATACTGCGCTTAAATTCAGAAAGGTCTAAGTACCAAAGAGGAAAGTAATATTTATTTTGAAAATAAAAAAAATGTGCCATAAGGCCAAAATGGGGTTAAGGAAGAGTTGATCTCCATTTTGTCTTATCGTAAACTTACCTAGCCATAATTACTGACCCAAACATACTACTGTATTCCTGTGGGGAAAATTGTGAAAACGGCTTACTTGAAATCTCGTTGTCGTTCGCATGCAAATTATGGTCGGTCCTCGGCTGTATAAAGGAAGCGCGTTTGTTTTGTTTTTTTCCTTGGCTTTTTTTTAAAATTTTATTTTGATTTCTTACCACAATTCCTTACACCAAAAAAACACATCCTTACTTACCATTCTTACTACAGTCGCCATAATACCTCAAAGTCTCTAGGAAATCCTATCTAGTACAATTTGTCTGTGTGGGTGGGTAATAAAAATAGCACATTTTAAAACTTAAACCCAAATGAATATTTACAATGATTACAGTGCCATAAAGGAAAGTTCATCAGAATAATTACCATGAAAGTATTTATAGAAAAGGCACAGGGAAGCCACGTTACGGTGTTGGGAAAAAGACTGAAGCCGAGATGACAATGATATTTTTTGGATTTTATGAAGAATCTGTAAATATATAGCAAAAGTCCTAGACCATTTTCAAAACATGAACGAATGGTATACTTATAAATATTAAGATAATGTTATAAAGTTAAATTCAAGAAAATGAACTTTTTTTTTTAAGATGCAGTTCCCTAGAAATTTATTAAATTATCTTTTTTGTGGCACTGACTTTCTGTTTACAGTCATATATAAAAATCTATCATCTTGGCTCCTTATAGAGTTATAAACTAGCTTAGCATTTTGTTATACTGTACACAGAGCAATTGGCTCAAAGCCGAATTGACAGAGTTTGAATCCTATAATGGAATTTTTGACATTTTTTTCTAAAGATTTTAACATGTATTTTCAATACCTGGGATCTTACAAGCATGAGAAACAATTTATGAAAATTTGATACGATATCTATCTATTTTCCCATTCTCGCTTATTCACTTTTAATCTTCACACCGTGTTCAACGCAGGTATTTTCCTGGAAACGTTCCAGGCATATTCTGTTGTGTTAACAGAAAGGGATAAAGAATTGATTATTTGGCGAATGATTCCAGATTCTCCAAGATTCATAGGTAGGAAATTCCTGGGGTTGGATGAGCTATGAAAGATTTATAGGTGAGTGAAAAGAATTACGAAAGTGTAAAGAAAATGGGGGGGAGGAGATAAATCTTCACAACTACCACGCCATAAAAACGCACACTTACAATGGCAAATATATAAAAATGACAAATACACATCATATATATATATGTGTATGTGTGTGTGTGTGTGTGTGTGTGTGTGTGTGTGTGTGTGTGTGTGTGTGTGTGTTACCATAGGATAATAAATTTAGACTCGTAGACCATTGTTAGTGTTCAAATTTGAATGAGTGCTCCACATTTGTAGCCTTGTATCAGACTTAATAAGTAAAAATATCAACTATTATTGCATAATGTTTAACAAGTTCATCTTATATCTCTTGTGCTGTGAATTAATTCTCTCAATACTATGACCTTGTATCAGAATATCTTTTGATACATGACTAACGAGGCAGATTTTTCCCGCAGTAGGTTGCCATTTCTTTCTGCGATATACCAGTTGTCATCCAAGTACATTAAAAAATAATAATAATAATAATAAACAGAGAGAGGGTTAAAGGGAGATAATTGCGGATTCGAAGTCAGAACATTATCATTGATAACTCTCTTCTCCAATTTGCAGACCCTAGTTACTATATTCTTAATACTTGATATAATGCAAAAATATCACAATGATAAAATTGGTCAATAATTATTTATAACTATTTATACTGGGACTCCTGCATGCAATTACAAGTCATCCATAATAATATTTTAAATTTGGAAATCATATTTATTTTTGGCGTATGGTTTTTTTTTAAAACTGTTTCTAAATGTTTGATTGTCATTCAATCATTCCGCCTCACCTGCTATCTTTTTTCCGTCGTATCTATGAGACGCGCTGCACCGTTTTGGGAACCACTTTTTTAGACAATTCTCAGCGTGTTAGATTTCATGCATGGCGCCTATTTGAGGTTCTAGATCTGACGAGGCTCTTTTAGAACATGACTCTTGACGTAAGGTTAATTTTTTAATATCGTAACATCTTTCTGCATTTGATAAAATTATACTTCGGCATGTGTAAGTGGTGGAACTGAGAGAGAAATCGAAGAGCCGAGTTCAAATTTCGGTATAGCTAATTGCATTCACTTTTGCACATTAAAAAGCATGAATCAGTATCTTCCACTCCACCTCGTTATTCGTTAAATAGCAGGGTTGACTGGGCTCTCTAGCCTTGAGTGACAACAAGTCTAAGTGAAAGGAAACTTTGAACGGCGAAAGCAACAGTAAAATACTTCACAGTTTCTTCTGAGAAATCATGGCAATTCACAGATAATAAAGGAATCTATGGAGATTTGTGATCGCCTAAGTCTTGAAGGGAAATGGTATTTTTTAAAATTATATTTATGCAAAGTTTCATCTTTACTTAGCAGTAAATTTTGATATTGTCGATTTACTTTTTAGCAAGTTTTGGCTTTTACTTTATATTTTGTGCATTGGAAATCTTGGGAAGGAGTTGCCAGTTGTTAAGAATGAAGCCAGATGTACTTTGCGAAATGGGACTGTTAAAAGTCTAATGCATTATGAAAATGGTCTTAAATACAATAAAATACTGACTTTCTTTGCCTGTTGTAAAATGGGGTTGTAACAATTTATATAAATAGGTGTTCAGGCGTATTTGAAAGGCGTCTATAATATTAGAAAAATTCAAGGTCATAAAATATGAGAAAAGGGAGACAAATCTAAAAATGAGATAAGACTAAAAAGGAAGAAGAAGAAGAAGAAGAAGAAGAAGAAGAAGAAGAAGAAGAATTTAAACGGTACAAACGTAGGAAAAAACATGAAAGGTTGAAAGAAATGAAAGAAAAAAGAAAAAGGAAGGAAACAGTAAATGGGAAAGCACGGAATTAAAGAAAAAAGGAAAGAAAGAAAAAAGAA